GGGGGGGGGGGGGGGGGGGAGGCTCGTGACCCTCCCCGGCGCACACTGGACCGAGTCAATAGAAGTCCGACAAGATCTGGAAACTTTGAAAGTTTTTATTTTTGAAAGTATTAAAAAAAACAAGTTTAAGGGTGGATTCGTTGGTTTGTTCGTGAAATTTCCTTTCAGAAACACCCTTTAAGATTGAATTTGTGAGGAAATAAATATCAAAATTTGAAATTTTAGCCGAAAAATATCATGTCCGACCTCTTCTGAAAATAAAAAAATTCCAATATAAAATTAAGTCCACTCATTTCAGTAAATACAATAGCCAGCATCAGCATCTAAATAAGACTTAGATAAAATTTATAAGTTCTAGTGACCCTTTCAATAGTAATTACATCACATACATGAGCTAAAAGAACTACACTGCCGTGCTAAGGAAAAACACTGCATGAACATTCGAGAATTGTCGAATTTCCCTTGATGAGACTTGTATTTTTGACTATATTTATGCACATTTTTCTTTCAAATTTTCAGATCTTTTAGATTGAATTGCGTATAAAATAGTTGGAAAATTTTGGAGGGAAAATACTCACGATTTTCCCGGTAAATTCGGTATTTATCGCATGAAATTTGGCAACGTCTGATGGTTCATACGGCGTTTTTTCCTAACACGGCAGTACAACACCCTTTATAAAAAATATAAACAGTAGGCATCCGTGAAAAGAGGGGCTGGAAAAAAATCCAAGCTCGTTATAGCTGACTTATGGCTCGTCCCACTGTGCGGCGTGTAAACAAACCCCGGCCCGTCCGTCGATCTTCATCCCTCGGAATCCAGGTCAGTTCTCAAGAGGATGACCTCTTTTCGCCGCATCCCGGCTCCAGACTCCATTGTGCTCCCGGATCCTTTCGATTTCGCGCCGTGTGAAAGTGCCCCGTTTCCACTTTCTCACCCCGGCATCGGCCGTCCTTGCGGGGCAGGTTGCCGAGCCGAGCGGCCTCAATGGGAGCTTCTTGCGGTGGATGGTGGATGGCCGCCACCTCGATGGGAGCAAAGGTTCGGGACTCGTTCTCAGACTCGGATTCGGACCCAGGTCCTCATCGGGGCAAATAACCAAACCTCGACCCCTTCCTTTAAAACATGAACCCGATTCTTTCACTTCTTCTCTTTATCCCGAAGATGATTTTTTGGCTTTCGCTCCGCAGTAGAGAATTTGCAGGTGCCTGAAATTTGATGAATTTCGTGTTTAAGTGGAAACTTCCGAGTGAACTGAACACGAGGATACCTTTGGATCATGAATTGAACAATTATTGGAGAAGATATGGGAAAATGATCTAATCTGCTACAACCCTGGTAAAAATTGGCGATAGGAGCTGCGTCTCAAAATACCATAGGAGTTCTCATAGCCGACTAAAGAAGGCTATTGAAAATCATATAGCTGGCTGTAGAAAGCGGAGCAAATCATATAGCCAATACGAAGCTATAAAGAAGTATACAGTAGGGCTATAGTTCCTATCGCCGGGCTTTACACTTTATCGCCATTGGCTATAAAAGGCTATAAGAAACTGTGTAGAAATTCGTGTGCTTTGGAAATCATTAAGTTTGATACGGAACTACCTTAATATTTACAAAACACACATTGTATTTTCCTATAAAACATTTTTTTTTTCATCAATTAAAATGAGAATAGTACATACAGAGTGTGCAAACATTTCAAAATCATGAGTTGAAAAACGCTGACTCCGCGAGATTAAATATTAGAGCCTAACACAAAGCGGAGCGGCGACGCACTGGCGCCTACAAACCTAACAGGGATACTTCACGCATTGCGCAATGCGTGAAGTATCCCTGTTAGGTTTGTAGGCGCCAATGCGCGTTTCGCGCTCTCTGCCCGCCCGTCGCCGCAGCGTGCCACGGCGTCTGGAGCAACTATATTTCACACCAGAGGTATTGCACAGTATCATAAGAAATTGAAGACGCTCCAACATATTAAGAATGACAGGCATCCTTCAAAAGTACGGAGCGTTCCTCGCAAAATAAATCAAGATACTACGGCACAAAAAGAGAGCGGTAGTCCAAAAACTAACTAAGTCCTAGTATCCGTATTTAGTAACGTTTAGCATAAACTTTATCGTCGGGCTGTTGCTTAATCGCCATCGGCTGTAAAAGGCTATAAGATATTGTACAGCTTGCTACAGAAGCTATTGGAAATCTTACAGCCGGCTTTAGGTCGATAGTATTTTGGAACACACATTCTACTGCCAATTTTTACCAGGGAATACGTGTGTTTAAATGGGAAATGCCGCCAAAAGACGTCATTAGGCGGTGCATTTTCTCAATTTTGTCATTTTTCACCGTGTAGCACCAACTTTTCGAAATTTTGAGATGATAAATCCGTACTAACAATAAGTTGAAATTTTCATCCCGCATTCAAAACAGCGTTTCAACTTTAAGGGCGTTAGGGAAAGCAGAGCTTTGAGTAATTTTTTAAGGTAGCGTAGATCTAAGCTACGGTATGGGTGAAGTAAAAAAAAACCGACTTTCAGCGTTACGAGTTTTATGAAGCTCTGATACTTACGTCTGAAATTTCAACAATGGATATGCGAATTCATTCGTCACGTGAGTTAGCGAGAAATTGAAGGACACAGATATATGAATGTAAGTCTCATAAGCCGGCAAACGGAGATAATAAGGCAGTTAGATACGTCCTCTCAATGTTCGCGCGAACGAAGAGGTGCTCTTGTATTGTTATTCGCTTTCCAAATGAATTTTTCTGTAACGAATATTTTTCGTGTTTACATGTTAGTGATAATGGTGAGGCTGAAAAACAGTATGTGAGTTTTCTCCGCGTTGGACGTCTTTATCTTTTTCTACAGAGTAGATACCGCCCCATTTTTTCAAAAGTTTTCAATAGCATATCATTGGGGTATATTTTACAGAATAATCACAAAATTATTACTTGAAAATGTCTTTGCTTCACTCAGATTAAAAGTGCACCAAAATTTGTTTCACCAAAAATGGTCTCTGAAAGTGCGCAAAGTTTAAATAGATAATATGAAATAACCTACACGAACAAGAAATTAGTTGAACGATACAAAAAGTTGCAATTGAATATCAAGATTTTTCCATCTGGATAGTTCTCTGCGGCGATTCACAGTTGAGGAGACGGTGTGTTTAAAATGTGTAACACCATGCCCGGTTTTAAATAGTTATGTAGATGAAGCAGATGAAGTTTTGGACGAATTTGAAGAATCTCGAGCAGGGTATAAACACAAATTTAAAAATTGTGAATTTTCAAAATGGCAACGTTACCGGGAAAAGGAGAGGCTCCGAAAGGACAAGAGCTGGAAAAAGTTGCACCAGAAAAATGGTGCAGAGTGGTGAGTTTAACTTATTTCTTTCAACTTTTTTAAGGAATTTTAGTACCTCAACAGGTTGCGTATCGGGATCGGGTCACGGAAACTCAAAAATTTAAGTAGTTTCGTTTCACTTCAACGGTACTCATTATTATGTCATGTATAGTAACTTTCAGAAGCATTTTTATGATATTCACACAACTTTCAATAATCGACAGCAAAAAAATAGTATGAAAAATTTAAGTTAAATGCTCATATTTTTCATTTGAACAAGAAAATGAGCCTGGAGACTAAAATAATCTCTCAATGTTAGCGCTGATCGCATTTTTTCGTACACCCTAAATCATTCCGAGTCAAAATCCAAGTCACTCACCGGGTTAAATTATGGTGACTACATACCGACTACGTAATGAAGCTATGAATACATTGTGCGCGTTTTGTTTACCTACAATATTATTTCTTAGCATGCTGATGCTGATAATATTTGTCTTTTTTTAGTGGGTAAGGTACGGAAGACGAGCCAAAATTTTCAATAAAGACGAGCGGTGGCGTGGCGTGAATTGCGATGTATCGATTGTTATGCCATCTAAACCTATGGTAAATAATCGATTATTAAGGTGTTCGCTGCGAACACCCTGTTTATCGATCCATTCCCACAGATTTAAATGGCATAACAATCGACATATCGCAATTCACGCCACGCCACTGAAGACGAGCGAAAGCTCATTGAGCGCTAACGAAGCTCAGGCGAACATTTTAAGTTGCCAAGAACAGACAAAATTATGAGCCCCCTTAGATAAGTTTTCTTCTTATGTTCACTCTGCTTTGCTATTGGACGTATTCCTGCCAAACGGAACCAGGACCGGATTTACTTACTTGCCGCCCCCTTCTCATTCGTTTTGAAACATCAATAAAAACCATCAAGTGAACGTGCCGGAGGGGGAGGGATACATAGGACGAGTTTACTCGGGTTGGACACATTTTTTGCGAAAGCCCTGTCAACACTACGAGCGAAGTTCACGAAACATGGCGCAAAAGTTAAGTTCCTTGAACCTATCTCTGTGTGGACAAGGCCTTCCATTCATATTAAATGAACGAAAAAATTATGAAAGAACAAACATAAATGTGGTTTAAAAATTTTAACTTCCGCCGCCGCGCCGCGCTGACCGCACTGTGTTTGACGCAATGCGTGAAGTATTCATGCAGTCTTGTAGGCGCTATGCGTTTCACGCCGCCCGCTGCTGACCGCAGCCACCGCACTGTCTTTGACGCAATGCGTGAAGTATTCATGCATGCTTGTAGGCGTTAATACGTGTCACTTGCCGACCGCCGCGCCGCGCCGAGGGTTTCTCCTTCTCATCTCAAGTTCTCGTCATCATTGCTCTCTGCGCCGCCCCGTTCCAGGCCAAATTCCGTGTTCGGTTTCTCTCTTGGTTTTCAACCACCAAACTCCCCCCATACCAAACCCCAACCCCAACCCCTAAAACTTCGACTAATTAAAGGTGCTGTCCATTGTATCACAGAAAGACCACACAATTAGAGATATACTCTCAGGAAATGAGAGATTTTGTCGCATTTTCTCGTTTGTAATTTTTTTTTTTTCTGAATCCGATTTTTCTTTATACCTACATTTGAAAATTTTGCAAAATTTGTCGCCCTTAAATGTGCTACCATGGGCCGCGGCCCATGTGGCCACCCCCCAAATCCGGCCCTGAACGGAACTATGTGCATTAAGACATGAGCCCTGAGACCCATAAGAATATATTTTATACGCATAGCAGGACTCGCGTCATGATGCACATAGTTCGGTTTGGCAGAAATACTTCCAAATTAATGTAACTTTGACTTGGCTACGATGAAAATTATTTGCAACTTATGGATAAGTAACGGGATGGTAGACTTTGTCTATAGTCTACTTATTCTTTATGTATTGAGAAGCTGATAATAGTGTTGATCACAGCTTTGGGCGTGCGGAGGAGCCATGATGATCTTTTTCTTCAGTGGGGTGACGGAGGCACACACTGCTGTCCTTCTGCCGCGTCTTGAAGAAGTGGACAGTCCAATACTCATTGACGCCGACGAGAAAACATGGATAGGTTGGTATGGATTCACATAAGGCCATTTTTGTGGCTGTGGATATGTCGCAGGCAAATAGTAAAACCAGGCATTTTGTCAAATGTCTAGGCAAATACTAAAATATTCTAACGTACATTGAAATTCTGATTCTTTTCCTAATTTTAGAAAAGTTACTTAATTGCTCCTGGAAGAAAAAATTCTCGATAAAAATTTGCATCACGCAATTGTATTTTAAACGATTTTTAGCTCCTGAACAGACACTCATCTCGAAATTTTTAGCATGTCATAAAAAACAGAATTTTGAGAAAGTGAACATTTAAAAATATGAGAAGGAATTGAAGAGGTAGAGACAAAAAGAGTCCGTAGGTTTGATGAGTTATTTTTCCAAAAATATTGAAAACTCGCGAGCTCTTTGCCATAAATTCACAAAATTGTGCAAACAGTCAAAATTTAACTATCTGCCTAGGCATTTGACAAAATGCCTGATTTCACTTTTTGCCTGCGACAGATATAGTCTGGTTGAAAAATATGTAGAAAAAAATAGGATATTGAATTAACATACGGGTCGCTAAAAACAAGTCTGATGTGACCTTAAAACGTTTACCTCAGCTGTCCCGGCCTAATTAACGTAACATCCCTTTCACATCGTCGTCGCACTTTTTTTTTTTAAAAAAAAATCACGATGTTAATTCAACTTTTCAATTTTTTCCGTTGTAACGCATGTTAAGTAGATGAATTTTACGTGTAACAGCTGGTACCCGTAACTGCTCCTAAATGTAAGTATCTGGTTAGAAAAATGCCCACTTTTTCCGCTGTCTGAAAATTTCACCAGTTTTCGGTCGTACTCAAAGTCGTTCAGTTACTTCAGTAAGTATTTTTTTTCCAAGTTTCTTCGGATTGGAATCTAAATTGGAAATCCTATTTTTCCATCGAAGTGAAGAGATTGCTCTACTGACATTTTCACAATCGATGACTGAGGTTCCTTTTCCCAATAGCAGTCATATTTGTAAAATGTATCTCTTTTGCAGCCAGCCTTGGAATAGTTGCAACACCGTTGTCCTCTGTCCTTTGTGGTCCCTGTGTCGATTACTTTGGCCGGAAAATCATGGTGCAGTGCTACTACCTCGTCTGTGCCTTGGGCTTTGCACTCATAGCATCCGCTAACTCCGTCTACCAAATTTACGCCGGGCGACTCATATGTTCTTTAGGAATTGGTAAGTATGAATGTCGGCAATTTTCAACCGTGTAATGGAGATGAAAATTCTTTACTGTAGTCATAGAAAAAGCGAACCAATGAATGGACGCATTTTTTGTCTTTAGCCGCCAAAGTCGGATACCATAAATATTCACTTCCAAGTTTCTTCGGTGGATTGGCGAAGCTTGCCTTTCTAGTTTAGTATGCAAAAAACGCCACCAACTTTCACCAAAGAGGAAATTCTCAGTATACGGAGATTTCTAATTCATGTTGTTCCTGTTAAATACGTTTGAAAAACGATAGTAAAATTTTCATGACAATCTAACACTGTTTATCATAATGTACTTCAAGGCAAGATTTTCAGACAAATCCTCATAACGATAACTATTGCTGCACGAAGGAGGGTTTTTGGCCTAACTCGAAAATTGAAGGCGAACTGTAGAATGCGTAACCTATACATTTTTAATTTTTGCGTTTTTCATTTACCCGTGACAGGTTTTGAGGTGGCGGCGATCGTGTACATCGCGGAGGTGAGCACGGTGCGGATGAGGAGCGTGTTGTTGTCCTTGACCTACTCCGTTCTCTACGGGGGTGGCACCCTCTTCGCTTACGCGGTTGGCCTAAGCCTGCCCTGGAACCTCGGATCAGCAGTCTTCGCGCTGGTCTGTCTTATTCTATTCGGCTACGAGTCCTTCGTTCCCGAGTCCCCTTCGTACTATTACAAAAAAGGCGACACCAAAAAAGCTATCGTCGCCTTCACCCAACTTGGACGCACCGAAGATCAAATCGCACAAGAGATCAAAATATTGGAAGAGCGAAAAACTAAAACCGAGCAAAAGGTACGCGAAGTTCTCCCTAGGCTGTCTTTCAGAGAAGGAATTTTGACGGGAATCATGGATTAGGAAATGTAATGTAGGGTGTCCCTATCGCTTAGTCCTTTATACGTGACAGCATCTGCGGGCTGATTGTTGAAATTGATAGACAAAGCTATATAGACAAAGAAGATAAAAGTGATATGAAGAGACTTTTTCGGTGAAAGTGGGTGGCTATAATTGACAAAGGAGGCATGTAATAGACTAAGACTAGCGGCAGTCCACGAGAGACTCAATATGGTTAGTTCATCAGTTTCTCCCTTGGTCGACAAGAGCCAACCACTTCAACCAATAGGATCGCTCCATAATCCCCTTTGTCTTCTTTGTCTATCATTCTGTCCATCCATTTCAACAATCAAAGCATCGAAGTTTGCCCCGACAACGACAGATCTCCTTAGAATTCATTCCATCCTTCATCAAATGTCTCAGAATCGTGTTAAAATATGGAAGTACAAAAGTTCTATCTGCCCAAGATTACCATCGAGGCCGTCTACATTTTAATTTTCCTCTCCTCAGGGCTTTTTTGGTAGATCTCCTGTCTCAATATCTATACGACTAAATTTACCACACATATTCTGCTAAATACACATGATCTTTTTAATAAAGCTCAACTTATGTAGGTATGACTGATTTGTTTTTAACAAATCCATTATCAAATTTTTAGAAGTTAATTTCAATACAGCTTTCAGGGATTGCTTGCTTTCTTAGGCGTCCCAAATTTCAATTTGTAGACCAAAATAGTGAACCCGATCAACGTTGACAGTAGCACCCTGTTCATTGCAGGTTGATTGGAGAACTTTCATCCATCCGACAGTATGGAAGCCGTTCCTCATCATAGCCTTCTTCCACTGCTTACAAGCGTTCATGGGATTGTGGGACGAGCTCTATTACACGGTTGACTTGGTCACCGAGTTGGACAGCGCGTATGACCCTTTCGAGGTTTCTTTTATTCTGACCCTTAGCAGGTTCCTGGTTGCCAGCACGGCCGGCGTTTACTTCACCACGCGTGTCAGCCGGAAGTTGGCCGCAGCCGCCTCTAGCTTCTCCATGGCTGTCGCACTCCTCGTCGTAGCTGTTTACGAGAAAAGGTATGATTGGTGGCAAATGGTATAGAGCATTTGCACAAAGATTTGGTAAAGTACCTACATTAGGGTGGCCCAAATTTGGCAATGTTGGAATTTTTTTGGTCTTACCCCCTAGAACTGTTCCATTTGATCAAAAAACACTCTCTGCCAAGTTTCAGCCAAATCGGATAATATTAACCCGTGCCGACAGAGCCATCTTTTTTATATGGGATTTTACATTGAAAAACACTTTTTTCCAGAAAAATCCACTTTTTTCGAAAAATGTGTAATTTCTAGAAAAAATCTGAGGTCATATTCGGCTTTAGCAGGAAAAATTGAGTAGGAAAACATGTATTGGATACTTCAAAAAAAATTTTTACCCCTCGTTAGAGCGGCGAAACAACTGAAACATCTAGAAAACGCTAAAAGAGGGTTAAATGACGGTGATAAATCCCAAATAATTACGTACGTCTGCATCCGAAAACGAAGCTCAACATGTGATAGGTGTTTCGTAGGTACTTTTTTACGCTGAGTCCGAAAACGCTATCCATTTTCCTCTCTTCCATCAGGATTTTCCGGAAAATCGATTTTCTTGGATAAAAAGAGGGTTTTCCGGGGAAAACTCAATTTTCAGGAAATAAACCTCAACATGTGACGGATGTTTCTTATGTGTTTTTTAACGGTGAATTCGAAAATCATAACCGTTTCCCTCTATTCCACCAGGAGTTTTTGAGAAACAAAATTTTTCCCGTAAAAAGGTAATTTTCCAGGAAAAACTCGGTACCCTGGAAAACTTGTGAATTTCGAGAATAAAAAAAGGTTATTTCTTAACTCAGTTGCAAAAAAACATAAAAACACAAATTGCATACTCCTGAATAAAACCTATGCCTGTTAGTGTTGTATGTATTCTTATGGAACGTGGAGAAAAAGTGAGCAAAATTGAGTACATTTGACAATTTATTAAATATTTTGGAAAATTACCTTTTTCACAGGAAAAATTTAGTCCCTCAAAAACTCCTGGTGGAATAGAGGGAAACGGTTATGATTTTCGAATTCACCGTTAAAAAACACATAAGAAACATCCGTCACATGTTGAGGTTTATTTCCTGAAAATTGAGTTTTCCCCGGAAAACCCTCTTTTTATCCAAGAAAATCGATTTTCCGGAAAATCCTGATGGAAGAGAGGAAAATGGATAGCGTTTTCGGACTCAGCGTAAAAAAGTACCTACGAAACACCTATCACATGTTGAGCTTCGTTTTCGGATGCAGACGTACGTAATTATTTGGGATTTATCACCGTCATTTAACCCTCTTTTAGCGTTTTCTAGATGTTTCAGTTGTTTCGCCGCTCTAACGAGGGGTAAAAATTTTTTTTGAAGTATCCAATACATGTTTTCCTACTCAATTTTTCCTGCTAAAGCCGAATATGACCTCAGATTTTTTCTAGAAATTACACATTTTTCGAAAAAAGTGGATTTTTCTGGAAAAAAGTGTTTTTCAATGTAAAATCCCATATAAAAAAGATGGCTCTGTCGGCACGGGTTAATATTATCCGATTTGGCTGAAACTTGGCAGAGAGTGTTTTTTGATCAAATGGAACAGTTCTAGGGGGTAAGACCAAAAAAATTCGCAAAATAAATTTTGCTGTGTATAATTGGGCCACCCTAACCTACATGTATACTGCCGTGCTAAGGAAAAACGCCGTATGAACCTTCAAGCAGTATAGGGCGCCGGGCGCCTCTTTCCAGATCTTGGCGAACATGCGGCAACTGTCCGCAATAGGGCAGTTTCGATGT